ACCCAAGAAGGATCTGATCATCAATGAGATTTTGGTCATGAAGGACAGCAAGCACAAGAATATTGTCAACTTTTTGGACAGCTACCTCCATGGTCTGGACCTCTGGGTGGTGATGGAATACATGGAGGGTGGCAGTTTGACTGATGTGGTTACTTTCAACATTATGAGCGAGGGGCAAATTGCGGCTGTCTGCAGAGAGGTAAGCTTTATGCTTCGTCGCATCTATATCGTATCTCTCTGACCTTTACTAGACTTTGAGTGGTTTACAGCACCTTCACTCGAAGGGTGTCATTCACCGCGATATCAAGTCGGACAACATTCTTCTCTCAATGGAGGGAAATATCAAACTAAGTAAGCTGCCTTCATGATGCCCCGAGTGTTCATTTTCTGACGTGATATAGCCGATTTCGGTTTCTGTGCCCAAATCAATGACTCGCATAACAAGCGAAACACTATGGTCGGTACACCGTATTGGATGGCCCCTGAAGTCGTTACTCGAAAGGAGTATGGCCGTAAGGTCGATATCTGGAGTCTGGGTATCATGGCCATCGAGATGATCGAGGGTGAGCCTCCTTATCTTACGGAATCGCCCCTCAGGGCCCTGTATTTGATCGCCACCAACGGCACGCCTACCATCAAAGACGAGCACAACTTGTCGCCGGTCTTCCGTGATTTCCTGCACCTTGCTCTGAAGGTGGATCCTGAAAAGCGAGCTTCGGCGCATGACTTGCTCAAGGTATGTCACATGGACAAATTCCATCATACATCATTACTGACTGCTCGATCAGCATCCCTTTATGTCTCTTTGCGCGCCCCTGAACCATCTCTCGCCCCTCGTCAAGGCCGCGCGGGCCAGCAGAGCCCAGGAAAAAGCTCAAAAGGGAGGCGCCTAAGTGCCGTCACTTTGAACTGTTACTATATACTTCGATGTCTTCTGTCTTCTCTCTCTCTCAGATACCCATTACCCCTGATATTTCATATTTGCTGGACAAAGACGCTGGCATTGCATATGGCAGACCCTTGTTCGCAACTTCTCGTGTTGGCGGTTTCGCATCCCCTGTGAATGTTTAGAAGGCGATGACCTCATCCGGATCATGATTTGTCTATCCGTTTTCCTTTTCTTCGCTTGGCTTGATCTTGAGTCACTGGCCACTTATCACCTGCGGAAATATCCTTCCTTTGTTTTTTTGACGAGTATTCTCTGCAAGATTCATTCTTTCGACGTTGGCTTTTGAGCGAGTGAAGAAGCCTGTACAATCTTCTGGGGCCCTCCGTCCAGCTATTGTCAATATTGTCGTTTGTTGAGTGCTTATTGTTGCCAAGGAGCCGAAGCTCAAGAGGAAGCTTGAAGCTTCATATAATGAACGGGCGCCGGTGGCCGGCGTGGTGATCGGCCCCCCCATCTTATTGTTACTTGTCTTGCAGCTGTTGGGTTGTTTCCCATCTCCATCTCTTCCAGCGACCGATATTCTTGATGATTTATGAGGCATTTTCCCGACTGTTTTGACGACAAAAAAAGAACAAAAGTGTGGAGCTTTTGTCTGTCTTGTTCTTGAGTTGACGATTATTATTTGAGCGGTTACATTGATATAGAGGGAGGGATCTTAAGTGCCATGGGGCTATTGCTTATGGGTGAGGGATGGTCATGATTCATATTCTTTGTTATTTACATCGGGAAGACCACGATGTGACTTTTATTACCTTTCGATCAATCATCAGGAATCACCCGGGGTATATCTTTATCACAGTCAATACCGAGTAGTTCTTTTAAGTAGAATGTAGAATATAGAATATCGTCATTGCCTGCCAACTTCCATAAAAGGCAGTGCCCCACTAGTCCAGAAAGGGGCGGGTCTCGCTTAATCGGGCGTAGCGCGGCCAGTCAGCGTCAGAGGCGCTGCTCTCCGTCGGCGCGATCACCTGCTGAGCATCAGGTGGCAGCCTGTCTTTCCCTTTCTCCTTGACTATCCACTTGCTATCTCTCCTCCCTGTCCTTCGTTGTGGTCCGATAACCAGTCCTGGTGGAATTCCCCGTCTCCAAGGGAATCTTAACCCGCGAGCGCCTCAATTGATCCCGACCTCGTTTACTTCGGCTCCCGCTGACCGCAGTGTCCCCCGCATCGGGTGTCATCTCGCGGCCTGGAAACAGTGAACCATCGATCCTACAACAAGGACAACCGGACTTGCTTTACTCGAGCAGTTTCCTTGAACATACCATACCTTGTGTCTGTCTGCCATACAGCAGTTTTCTGAATCAACTCGTTCGCGTGAAATAATAGTCCGAGTTGCAACGCAGTGATTGTCCCGGGCGCTCGGAGACATAACCCTCGTGATGTTTCGCGCACAGCAAAACGCCTTTGACGATGCAGTCGGTATGAGATGGCTCTTCTCTATTGCACATTGTGCAGCTCTACTATCCTCTACGTGCTGCTAATCTGAGTATTCTGGTATAGCTAAGGCGACCGACGAGAACCTGACTTCCGAGAACTGGGAATACATCCTGGTACGCAAACCCACGATCGATTTAACCTACCGTTCACTGGCCGAATGATATATATCTGACTGGAGCTCTTGGTGTTTAGGATGTCTGCGATAAAGTTGGTGCCGAGGAGTCAGGGTATGCTTCGCCGTTGATTGTCCTTTCCGGTGCACGTCATTCTGACAATAGATCTGTTTCTAGAGCGAAAGATGCCGTCGCTGCTATGATTAAGAGGCTTGCGCACCGAAACGCCAATGTGCAGCTTTATACTTTGGAGGTTCGTGCTGGATACTGTGGCATCTCCGGGCTTGGGGGCTTACGTGTACTGATACGGCTATAGTTGGCGAACGCCCTCGCTCAGAACTGCGGTCCCAAGATTCATCGCGAGCTTGCCTCTAGGAGCTTCACCGATGCTCTGCTACGTCTAGCGAATGATAGAGTGAGTTGGGCTTCTACCGACGAAGAGCATCGCACTTATACCGAGCAGAACACCCATCAACAGGTCAAGTCGAAGATCCTAGAACGCATGCAGGAATGGACGGAGATGTTCGCCAGTAACCCGGATTTCGGAATCATGGAACAAGCTTACATGAAGCTGAAGACTCAGAGTAAGTGCTTTAGCAGTTATGGATAGTGGAGAGAAGCTCACTATTTTAGACCCGAACCTGCAGCCTCCGTCGAAGCCCGGAAAGCGGGAAATCACCGATTCAGATCGCCAAAAGGAAGAGGAGGAGCTGCAAATGGCCCTTGCACTGTCGATAAGAGAAAAGGCCACGATTGCCCCTGCTCCACAGCCCGAGGCCAGCTCCAGTGCTGCTCCAGTCAACCAAAACCAGACACCTGCTGCCACGTCCCAGGCCGTCCCCTCGGGTACTTCTGCCGCCACAGTCTCGCGCGTGAGAGCCCTGTTCGACTTTCAGCCTTCAGAACCCGGTGAGCTGCAGTTCCGCAAGGGAGATGTCATCGCTGTCCTCGAGTCTGTCTACAAGGATTGGTGGAAGGGTTCCTTGAGAGGCCAGACCGGCATCTTTCCCCTTAACTACGTCGAGAAACTTCCTGACCCGACGGTGGAGGAGCTGCAGCGGGAAGCCCAGATGGAAGCCGACGTGTTTGGTCAGATCAAGAACGTTGAGAAGTTGTTGACCCTTCTGAGCACTCGCAGCTCCGAGCTGAATGTGCAGGACAATGAGGAGATCACGGCATTGTACCACTCCACATTGGCAATTCGCCCCAAGCTGATCGAGCTCATTGGGAAGTACTCGCAGAAGAAGGGTAAGATTTCGACACTCCATTAAGTTCTTCCCTTCCTCTCCGCTAACACTTTGCAGACGAGTTCACACAGCTCAATGAAAAGTTCATCAAGGCGCGAAGGGATTACGAGTCTCTGCTGGAGGCGTCCATGGCGCACCCCGCACAACCCCAATATGGCCGACCGGCTCAACCTCCATACGGTTATCCTGGTGCCGCCCCTGTGGGATATCCTCAAGGTCCGCCACAGGCTGATCCCAAACGCTACTTCAGTCCCCGTCCTCAAGGCGAGTACAGCATGGACACCCTCACAGCTTGTCTAACATCTCGCAGAATCACAAGCCCCTCCGGCCAATGCGCCTGCATTCTACAGCGCAGACCAAGCGCACGCATACCCTCCCACTTCACAATCGCCCGATCCCCGTCAGACACCACCCGCTGGCGCCCCGTATCAGCAGTCACAGCAGCCGCCGCTGCAGCAGCGCCAGCCCTCCTCGGAGTCCTACCAGCCCGTGTACCACCGTCCGGAATCCACATACGAGAACCCCCAAGAACTCGGCACATCCGTCTACGATTCCCCGGTTGAGCATCCCGCCAGCCAGAGACCACCATACCCCGGCGCCGTGCAGGTCCCCGCCGCAGTGCAGCAGCATTTCCAACAGCAACAGCAGCCGCAACAGCAACAACAACAACAACCGCACCCGGAATACCCTGCTTCAGGCTACGCTCCTGAAGACGCCTCCAGACCCCCTACCCACCAAGCACAGCCTCCCTACCCTTCACACCAACCGCCGCCTATGCACCAGCCCCCGCCTGTCCCAGGTACATCCACAACGCCAACACCCTATCCTGCTTTGAACGCCGGAGGCGGATATCAGGCGTATAACCCGTCTCAAACGGACGTATCTAACCCCGCGTCATTCTACCGGTGATTTTGTACCATTTCTTAAGGCATGATGTAGTAGTTAGTGGTCCTAGGCAGATGTTGTTGAATTGATATCCTTTACGCATTTCATTGATTGGGATGTGCTTGATTTATAGGGCTCCTTATTTTCTCTCTTTTACCCTGGCCTGATAGTAATTACGTTTGTTGTAGGTGTACTTAGCGCAGCTAGCTACTATCTGCGTGCTATTGCTGCCTTCATTGAGACATTGAAAAGGAATTAATTCGAGAGAAATAACTAGCTGATAAAATTTCCATTATGAAGATGAAGACAGTTTTACCGGAACCTCGTACATCCGACCAGGTAGGTAATGCAAACGCCGCAACTAATTTCTCAATTCAATGAATTGCATTAACTTGTCACTAAGTAAGTAAAGTCGGTGACACATTATCTGGGATACATCTCATACATTATCTCAATTTTCTTCCCCATCAACTTTTCATCGCATCTCATCTTATCCCCGTTAGTTTGAAAAGAAATCAGCCATCTCATCATCCACCTACCTCAACTCTCACTCTCACTCATCAGAGAAGCTTTTCATCATGGCTCGTACATTCGTTAAGAAGAAAAAGAGAAAAAAAGAAAGAAGTAACTCTATCCCGGGGTATACTCGCACAGGAGAAATGAAAAAGAAGAAACATAAAAGAAAGAAACATGACCTAAACACCGCCGACGCCATCCATCAGCTCATTTTCTTTTTTTCTCTTTTCACATACTTTTCATAATGAAAGCAAAACAGAACACAAACATTAAAGAAAAACAAGGGAAAAACACTTGAATACACAAGAAAAGAACAAACAAACGGGAAAATACAAGAAAAAAGCGAAAACAGATAAAACGCACAAAATCAGAAAACAAGGTAAGAAACACTCAACTCGAACCACATCATCACCATCACAGTGGGAGAGAAAGAAAGAGGCAGCTAAAGCTCATACCCCTTGGTCATAGTCATAGCTCTCTCACAAACTCTGAAGCGAGCCTCGAAACCACCCCAGAAGTTGAACGCATTCCAAGGGGCCGCCACTCTCACGGTTTCGCCAGTCCACTTGAAGACCTCAATGGGGAGCATCTCGCCCTTTTCACTCCTGCGCGTAGTCATATACTTCGGACCGACGATATAACCGCGGCCGTAGGCAAGACCATACCCCACGGCTTTCTCGTCGTCGTCGCTTCGCTCAGGGTCGACGTTGAAGTCAATGTACCCGACCTGCTCGTTGTGTTCGTCGACCTGGTTCAGGCCGTTGCAGGTACCAGCATACTGGAGGTAGACGCGCCACTTGACATTGTCGTTTCTGTACCGGTGGACGGTCAGGCGTGGAACCTTCTCCCAATCATCGTCATCATCATCATCATCGGACTCGGGAGTGTCATGCTGAGTAGTGCCTTTCTTGTCCAGCACTCGGCGCATCTGGTCGACTTTGTCGCAGTCCAGAGCGAGGATCATAGCTCCCTGCAGTTTTCCGAGAGAGAAGGTGGCGCGCGCGGCGGGATCGTTGCGACGGGGTGCGTTGATGTCGAGTGAGAAGTCCTCGTAGCCCCAGGGGTCGATGACGTTGCAGCGGATGACATATTGGCCTTGGAGGTTGCCCAATCTCAATGGAGTGATGTTATTGGGGTTCACAAGCTGCTTGAACAGGTTGTGGCGACTGAGCTTGGTCTGCCACACCTGAGCGATGATAGTATCGTCGTACAACTTCTCGTTCATACCGGCGGCGTGGATCTTGGCGACTACACCGGTGAGTTTCTCGGCGTGCTCGCTCCAGGTCAGAAGTGTCCAGGTACCGCCGCGGCCCGGGGTAGTGGCGATCAAGAGACCGTTGATATTGGCCACGGCTTTTCTGAGTTTCTCACGAACGTCGAAATACAGCTGTGGCATGAGCTGAACGGGCTCCAGGGTTCTGTCATGAGCGGGGACACCCATCTCAAAGGGGTAGTCAAGCGAGAGGAAGTACTTCTTCAGGAAGCGGCGGTGGTCAAAGTTCGCCTCGAAGGTCGGCACATATTCCTTGATGTGTTTGTCTGCCAGACTGGCGAAGCCTGCATCCAAGCCTTCTTCGAAGCTCTCTGCCCATCCGATGACAGTGGCCGGGTGACTGATCTGGAAGCTCAGACCGGCGATGGAAAGAGCAATGCTCACGAACTGCTGGTTGTACACGTTGTGCAGGACAATGGCCTTTGACTGCTTGCTCTTGTCGGGCACACCGTCTTCCTTGTTGAGGAAGTACTTGGCCATGAAGAGAGAAGGGTCGAACAGAGCTTCGTCGGAGGGAGTGACCTGACGAGCGAACTTCTTCACCCGCCAGTCAGCCTTTTGCTGCTGATAGTCCTCCTGTACGGCTTGGTACATGTCGTACAAGGTTTTCTCGAGGAGGAGGACCGAAGGCGAGTCATACTTGCACTGGTTCGTCTTTGGTCAGCTTTTGTTTTTAAGGATTGAGGATGAAGATGAAGGGGAGTGTTTACGTGTCCATCTCTGTATTCTTTCTCAAGCAGAGCCAACAGCTGAGCAACAGTATTAGAAGGCTCATAGGAGATGCCGAAATGCTGAAGCTGGGCAGCTATCCAACGCTTCACAGGCCGTCTGCTGGGTGCAGTGACCGGTTTCACGGGGAAGAGCGTGTTCAGGATCGATGATGAGGCTCTGGGGATACTGGCTACGGTGACTCCATAGTCATCGTAGGTGTATGGGCCGTATTTCACGAAGGAGGGACGTTGAGGGAATGCACTATCCATGATGATTGAATATCTGTATGCCAATGATGGATAGTTTATGATGGAAGTGTATGCAGAAAGCGAGATGAGAAGTGAGATGAAAGATGAGATGATTCGAGATTTCACCTTGTAGAAGAAGATGATGATGAAGAGGTAGAAGGTGCTGTGTTTGTGCGAGAAAGATAAGGGCCTCACTACCTGTTGTATACAACGCGTTGACAAGCGAGACGCGTTGCCTCTTCTGGGACATCAGTGGATTTTTTATTCACGCAGCTGGCACTACGCCACGTGATGGCTACTGTTTTTTAGAAGGGGGTTTGGCTACCAGGGAACATGTGCTGTGTTAGTAGCTGTGTGAGATTGAGCATTTTACGAGACTATAGTGAAGCAGAAGACTTTAGTAGTGTAAAGTGTGTTGGGATGAACATCCTATAACTGAGTCTCGGCGTAGGGCTACTTGAAGTATAACTGCAGTTCTGTATACAAACCAATGGTGTTGACAGTAGCTGTGATCACATTTTGCGCACAACATGCACAAACTAGACTAACAGCATAAACCCGTAAAGTCCTATATCCTCAATATCATACAAGTTAATACTCGATCTCCGACCTCTCCCAGATGAAGCTACCCAGAAATCCGAAGAAGTCCGTCCATCCCGGCTTTACGTTCGGAAGCCGACAGCCACATATACACCCTAATTTAGATCCCCGGAGATCAAGCTTCGGCCCACCAACTCCGCTGTCCGGTTCTACCGATCACTACTACTCGATCTACTGAAGATAAAAGCTATGATGATGATGCAGTTCAACGTATCCAATACAAGTTTAACTTAAATCAACTCAATTCAGACCAAAGCACAATGTCCTTCCCATACAAGCACATCCTCGTCATCGGCGCCACCGCCGGCATCGGTCGAGCACTCGCATCACGCTTCGTGCAATCCGGAGCCAAAGTCACAGTCGTCGGGCGACGCAAAGAGCGCCTCGATGAATTCGTGCAAGAGCATGGCGAAGACAAGGCCAATGCAGTGCAGTTTGATATCAGTGATTTGGATAAGATTCCTGGGTTTGCTGCCGAGTAAGTGCCTACTACGGATACTCTACCTACATATAAACCACCATCATATACAAGAATGACTACTAACCAACCTATCCTTAAAGAATAATGACCAAATCCCCCACAATCGACAGCATCTTCCTCAACGCCGGCATCATGCTCCCCACCGACATGACCGACCCCAAGAAATTCGACCTATCTAGCTTCTACAAGCAAATGCACGTCAACTTTACCAGTTATGTTGCGCTGACGCATGCCTTTTTGCCATATCTTACCAAGAAAGGGGGGGAAACAAGCTTGATTTAGTGCGTGCCATTTCACAATCCATCCACAAATATATACTATCAGCGAGGACAGTATATACTAATCAATGATCATCATGTATAGCACCACATCCAACATCGCCATCGTCCCCGCAACCTGGATGCCCGCGTACTCTTCCTCCAAAGCCGCCCTGGGCGCCTTCATTCTCTGTCTGCGGGATCAGCTTCGGAAGACCGATGTGAAGGTTATTGAGGTGTCACCGCCGGCGGTGCAATGTGAGTTTAAACCATCCATTCCACACCTATACTAGTCTTTCGTACTTTCATCCGATCTAAGATATTTCGTCTGACTAACTATCTCTGCAGCCGAACTCCACGACTTCATGGGCGAAGAAGGGCGTAAAGTCGGTATGCCCCTGGAGAGATTCACGGACGAGGCATTCCAGGGCCTAGTGGAAGGAAAGGACGAAATCATCGTGGGAGGTATTGGGCCTAGGGATGTGTTCTTGGATATTGTGGATAAGCGCCGGGCCGCGGCTACGCAGTTGGCGAGGATGTTGTTGGGGGATGATTAGATGGTGGATTGCTTGAATTTTGCTTCGATAGACTTGGACATATATATAGTAGTGGCAATCAGCATTTTTGGTTTATTGTGGTGTTTCATAGCAATCACATATTGATAATCCGTCCTATCTAGCCTACTGCAACTTCAATATTGAACAAGGAGCCATTCTACGCAACCTACGTAACAGTAACAAACGAACTCAGCGTCGCAATCTTCTCCGCCAACACTCTCACCGGCTGTGCCCCAATAAACTCAAACGAGGATAACTCTGCGCCCATTTCACGACTGACCCAGTTCTGAACCTCCGCAGCCTTGAGCGAGTCAACTAAAACCCCTACCGTCAGTAAAAGCCTATAACGAAATATATCATCAAGGTATGATACTCACCACCCAATGCCGAAAAAGGCAACTCCAAATCGATAGCCTCCGCCGACGACGCCATCGCCCTGGCCAAATACTCCTGCAGTGCCTGATTCACGACGCGCACCGCCTCGTCCATGGACTCCGCCTTCTTCAACAACGTGCTGGTCTTGGCCACCCCAGCTCCTGCATCCTCATCAGCAACAACCTGAATCCGGTGATCGAATTTGCGATCGAATTGCCACGAAGCTGCCCCGTCGGTGCGTGGTAGCGTGTCTGTTAGTCCGGCGATGACCTGTGCCGGGACTGGGGTGATTTTCTGGACGATCACGCGAAGCAGAGTTTGCACCTCATGTTGCAGAATCTCGGTACCCTCTAGGTGTCGGTATCGCTGGCGTCGCTGTTCGGGCGTTTCGGCTACGTCGCCCAGTCCGCTGGCGTCTGGGACTAGGCCGATGTTGATGCTGTGTCCTGGTAGGTGGTGCTTGCGTCGCCAGGTCATCAGCGCGTCCATGTACCCGTTTCCGGCTGCGTAGTTGGCCTGGCCCATGTTTCCGGTTATGCTGGCTACTGATGACAGTGTCACGAAGAAGTCTAGCGGGGTGGAGGAGAACGCCTCGTGGAGATTCCATGTCCCTTGGATCTTCGGCTCGGTGGATTGCTTCCACGCGTCGAAGTCCATGTGCTCGAACATACCGTCCTGGTAAGAAGATAAAACTTAGCTTTGAGAAAAGATTGTTGGTTGTGATCTGACTTACCTTGAGTACAGTTGCACATTGTACGATACCACGAATGCGCCAGCGACTTTCTGCAGCTCGGGTCAACAAACCTTGCACCTCATCCCGGCTGGCAGCGTTGCATTGCACAACATCAGCACGCACACCTCGGTCTTGAAGCTCCTTCAGTGCAACCTGCTGTGTCTCCCGAACAGCCCCAGAGCGGCTCAAGAAGACGAGATGACGGGCGCCGCAGTTGACAAGCGTATTGGCTATTGCAATCCCGAGAGTGCCGAGCCCACCGACCAGGATATAGGTATTCTCCGCAGGCAGAGGGGCAGAATCTGGGAGAGCTGGCACAATTGGCACCTTGCCTGGAGCCTGAAGATCGATGATCACACGGGTACCACTGTCGTGCGCATGCGCAACAGCATCTGAAATTTGGGAAACAGGGAAGGAAGGATAAGCTTGGACGCTGGTGAGGGCTTTTGATCCGAGAAGATCCACTGCGCGATGGAAGCTGGCCTGTAGTTGACGGGGCGCTTCACGAAGCATTCTTGATAATCGCACAGAACTGACAGTGCATCCACGGTCAACAAATGTCTGAGGTAGAGCAGCCAGATTCAGCTCCTCGCTGAGATCCACCAGCCTGCCGCTGTAAGCCAAGCAACGCGCCGCAAGTCGACTGACAGAACCTCCCAGGCAGCAAACGCTGAGCTCTACCCCCTTGCCCCCGGTCAGCCGTTTGACTGTTGTATCAAGCTCCCTATGGATGGGAATAATTCTCTCATGCAACCCATTATATTTGGAGAGCAACTCCTTGACACCATTCTCGCCATCGCCATCGACCGCGACGTACACCTGCATGCCAGCAGCCAGAGCACAGTCCATCGTGGCGCGCAAGGTTTGGCTAATTGAACCAACTATGAGAACCGACGAAGCAGAAGCCCCGAAGCTGCCAAAGAGGCTGGTGTAGGCAGCTGCAAATGCAACTGGCATGGAAACCGACTTTGCCTGATTCTGGCGCAGTGGCGAATGCCAGATGGCACTTGCTGGAAGGCGTACATGGGTGGCTAAAGCACTGGACCACGCATCACTGGGGATGGCACACAAGACTTCGTCTCCCACTTGGAACGCTGAGCCGATAGATGCTCCAACCTGGCGTACGACCCCAACTGCTTCGATGGCCGCTATACGTGCCTCTGGGGAGATGCCATCTTTGCCGGTGGGCTCACAGATGGACACCTTGTGTAGTTGCACCTCAACTAGATCACCGGCTAAAGCTGTATTCAACCGGTCGTCCAGCTCCCACCGAGCGTCCCTGATATCCTGCGACTTGTTGCAGAGGTGCAGTGGTCTCGAGTCCTGCGCAAGTTCTGCCATCGTAGGACGCGGGCCATGTAAGAGCGCATCCATGCATTCATCCACTGGAGCAGTTGCGACGGCTCGCGGAACAAGCAGACGATTGTCTTGCACATAGAACTCCCAGTCATGCGGCCGTGATTGGGGCTGCAATGTTAGCTGCAACACGTGTGCGATACTGCGCGCCAGACTATGAGGATCATTGTCCTGTTCAGAAACTAGCAATTGAGGCAGCAGGATACGGGGGTTTTCATTGCGTAAGGTCCGCAAAAGTCCAGTTGTAGCCCCAAAACCTGCATAGCCAGACGCCTCGTGCTCCGGGCACTGTGACACCCAGAGGAGACATTTTGCTTCCAACAAGGACCGAATGCGTGAGATCTCATTCGACGCCCAGTTCGTTATCCACGGACGCTGCAGCTCGAGCAGTGATATGATGGTTTTATCTTTCATCTCTGAAGCCTTATGGATATCTACCACCTCAATCTTAGAGCCGAGGTTGCCCACAACGCCATCCAGCTCATGCAAAAGAGGACCAACCGACTCATTCGCTGCGCTGCTCAAGATGTAAACTGTGGGATCCAACTTCACTGGAGCATGTTGACGGCGAAGGAGGAGATAGTCAGTATCATCAATCAAGCTCTGCACTTCCCAGTCTGCATGGCCCGCATTGCGTATTACTGCATCGTGCTCTTCATCAGTCGCTCGAGCAGCAATCCAAGAATCTGGCCCAGTCATAGGAAGCAAAGAGTCGAGCAGGGCTTTTGCAGTATCGCCTCTCCAGATATTCGGATGATCCACTAAGACCGCATCATAGGCGCCTTCTCCCAGCAATTCCGTGTCTAGATCCTGCAGTGAGACAACTGACAGAACCCGACACCCTTCCAGAGATTCCTGAATGGCCTTGACCTGGTCAGTTGATCTCGCAGTGTCAGGGTCAGATAGAACGATGGTGAGCTGCTGTAGTCGAGGTCGATGACTGGACCTTGGCGCATATGGCTCGAGAGCTTCAAGAACTTGATCCGTGCTTCTGGTAGTCACCACCAAAACGCGAGCATCTCCATGAGTGTGGCAGACTCGGCCAATCCAGCTCTTCAGTCCACCAGATAGACGGACTTCTGGGCCACAAAAAGAATCTAAGTGCTCAGCCCAATGAAGAGTCGAGAACCGGCTTTGCTGGATTTCCTCTTTGGTCGAGCTGCTGGACCGCGTAGGCACGCGACCTAATCGCACCCCTTGCAGAACCACTCCAGGCTGCTGCCAGGATGGGTCCGAAGCGATCGACTCGGAAAGTGACACGCCGTTCTCATAGCGTGTCTCGACATGCACATCAAATCGGTCACCAGGCTGCAAGGAGAAGTCCGTCGAGAGATAAAGACGCTCAACCCCCACGGGAATGTTGGCGTTGTGGTTGGTCAGGGCATCCGAGCAGGACAACACGGCACCCTGGAAGAGCGTATCCAGCGCGGTGGGATGGATAAGACATGGAGATTCACGCTCATATGGCATCGTCTGCTTGGTATTTGGTGCGACTCCAGTGGCGTACAGACGAGACCCTGAGTCAAAGGCTACGCCAGCCATGGACCGGAAGGTCGGTCCCAGACTGACGCCCCCGGTTTCTGAAAGCCATTCATAGACGGCTTCGATCTCAGCCTTTTTTGCCACACCTTGCGTCTGTCGCACTCGTTGTACAGTGGTCTGCCAGTCTGCAGCACACCCCACCCCATCTTCATCAGCATACTGCGGAGCAAAGGCACCTTTCGCATGTTGGACCCAGGATGAATTCTCAGGCAAGGAGAAGATGCCGAATTCATACCATCCATTCATGGCGCGATGCGGTGCCACATGGAGAACCACTTCTAGACCCCGTTCGTCCGGGGGAATTACCACTCCCCGGAAAAAGTCAAGATCATAAAATTCAATCCCCTCTAACCACTTCGTAGTGTCTGCAAGCTGACGTGCTGCCTCTGAAACCATGGACACCATGCCAGCTGCTGGATATACTATAGAGCCAGCCACCACACATGATCCGCAAGCCAGGGCAATTCTGAAACCCGGAAGAAATTACGCCACCGCGGCTCCAGATCATTCTGGTAGTCCCAAGGCATACCGAGGAGGTCGTGACGGGGTTCTGTGCGCTGTCGCAGCCGGGCTGATTCCAATGGCTCGTGCCAGAAGCTGGACTGATGGTTCCAGGCGTAAGATGGAAGGTCTCGGCTCACTTGTGGCCTTATTCCTCCCAGAAAGCTCTGATTTGCTGTATCTAGATCGATCGCATAGCCCAAGCACCACAAGAGACCGGCAGCTTCAAGGGCGGTTTGCCGAGAGTTCTGCTTGCGCAACACTAGACTTCTGTAAGGAATGGAAGCCATATCAGCATTGGCTTCCTGCAGGGTTTGATTGAAAGGCCCCTTTAGAGCTTCATGTGGTCCAATCTCCAAGAAGCTTGCCCACTTGACTGGGACTACTCGCCGTCTCCCTCGTCCTTTACCGGCCTCGGTCATGGTAACAACTTTGGTGACTGCCGCAGCAAACTCGACTGGACTGACCAGGTTGCGCACCCAGTATGCCGCGTCTAGATCTGCTGGCTGCAAGAGCTCTTTGTTGACAGACGAGAACATAGCTATGGATCCATTGTATCTGTCGGTCGGCTGAACAGATTCAATGGCTGCTTTATAGTCGGCAGCCAATTCTCTCATATGCGGTGAGTGGTAGGCAGTGTCTACGCGCAGCTTGCGCGCAAAACGGCCGCCTGCTTGCAAGCGCCCCTCAAGCAGGTTTATCTCGTCTATGTTGCCGGATAGAGTGACACTCGATGGACTGTTCACACAAGCTACCACCACGGAACCTGGGGGTAGGGTCTGCAAATATCCCTGCGCACCAGCGGCAGAAATACCAGCAGCGAGCATACCACCGCGGCTCCCACTTTCAGCAATCCGTTGTGATAGCACACCGCGGAAATAAGTGACTCGAATGGCATCCTCATGGGTCAAGTAGCCGGCCGCATAGGCAGCCCCTAAAGCACAGGTCAGTTATTTCGTGGAGGGCAACCGGACAAAATGAGAGACATACCAACTTCACCACTGGAATGGCCTACCACTGCCTTGGGGGCCACTCCCCAGCTCCGAAGCATGTCTACCAAGGCAATCTGTAAAGCACAACAACAGGGCTGACTACGATCAGGTCGATTAATGCGGCTAGTCGTTGCATCCGCACGGATCTCCGCGAGCAAATCCCACGGGCAGTCAAGACTCCGCAGCACCTGCTGACTGCGTTCTATACTGGCCGCAAACACAGGGTTTGTCAATAGCTGGACGCTCATGCGTGGCCATTGGGCACCTTGGCCCGTGAAAACGAACGCGAGGTGCGTCTGGTTCTTACGGCTTGCCCGAGGAAAAGTAGGCAACCCCGCGGCCATCACATCCCGCAGCTCTGCTAGTGAATCCACCACAGCGAAGCTGCGAAACGGGTGCTGGGATCGCCGTGTAGCCATGGTGTGTGCTACATCTGGCAATGAAATGCCCTTTCTTTTACCATACGCGGATGAATCGAGGAAGTTCTTCCACTTGTCCGCCGTACGGTCTAACCCAGATTGGTCATGCGTAGAGACCACAACGACTTGGGCTATCCCTTCTGTGGTGTCGGACAGAGTTTGCTTCTTACCAAGATACTGCGCTGTGCTCTCAAGAATAGCATGAGCGTTGGCACCCCCGAAGCCAAAAGAGTTGATGCTTGCACGTTGCGACAGATGCGGTGGCCACGGTGTGGTGGTGTTGCTTAAGCGCAAGCCCCATTCCTCCAGTCGGATCTTAGGGTTTAGGTTCGAGAAGCCTGCGTTAGGAACAAGCAGCGCCTTCTCTAAGCAGAGAACCACTTTGATAATGCTGGCTACCCCGGCAGCACCCTCGGTATGTCCTAGATTACTTTTCACAGATCCGACGTAAACTGGCTCATCGCCTGGCTTTCGTTCGGCACCAAAGCTTGCTCCAATGGCAGATAATTCAGTAGGATCCTAATGACGCTTTTAGTACCTTATTTCGCAACAATGAACTTCATACTAACACCAATCGCTGTCCCTGTCCCATGGGCTTCAAAATATGACGTATCACTCATCGATAATCGAGCTTGAGAATAGGTTGATCTGATCAAATCAGCTTGGGCGGTCGCATTCGGCATGGTGATTCCCGGGGTACGTCCATCCTGATTAGAGCCAGTAGCACGAACGATTGCTCTGATCGCGTCACCGTCTGCCATGGCCTTGGACAAGGGTTTCAGCAAGATTGCACCGAACCCCTCACCCCTACCATACCCATTAGCTTTACTATCAAAAGAATGACTGATACCATCGGCGCTGAGCATATGCATGTACGACAGCCGCTGGGTAAAATTCGGATGCAATATCAGGCTTGCTCCAGTGACCAGCGCCTACAATAATCAGTTATTATCCTCGGATCATATATGGAGGTTCTCTTACCTGGCTACATTCGCCTGCCCGTAGTGCCTGGGTAGCCAGATGCAGCGCCGTCAAGCTGGACGAACAGGCCGTGTCAAGCATGATGCTGGGACCACGAAGATCAAAGAACCATGAAAGGCGGTTAGCCAACATAGTTCTCCCATTACCTGTCGCCGAGTTATGTGGCATGTCCATGATATCTCGGGTTGACAGCAGCTCGTAGTCATTGGTCATGCATCCGCTATAGACACCGGTAGCACTACCGGGTAGTGATTCCATTGGCACGCCTCCTGGGGTCATATTTCAGTTGATCATTTCCTGAGACTTTTGTCAAGAATCTAAATACCATTTTCGAAAGCTTCATACGCCACTTCGAGCAGGATGCGCTGAACAGGATCCATGCCTGCAGCCTCCTTGGACGTGATGGAAAAGCAGGGTGCATCGAAGCGGGATGGATCCTCGGCTAGAAAGAAGCCGCTATCGTGATTGATCTAATGATACGCGGTTAGTTCCAGCGGTAATAAGTTGATATATGGCGAACATACAGCCCCTTTGCGCTCGTGACTGGGATGTTCCCAGGCTGATGCTTGGTAACGACTAGCAGGAACACGCCCATGCTCCCTTCGACCCAGGCGCAGTGTATCCCAAAATCCTTCAATAGAAGATGCTTCGCCGGCAAAGCGACACCCCATGCCAATGATTGCAATCGGCTCTGGGCCAGATATGTCTTTTGCTTGCTCTTCCATTGTGGCTGATGTTACAAGATAGTGTCTTCAAGCTGACCTCAAGTGAGTCAATTCAGTTTCCTGGCCTTCCTTATAACAACTCAGCCTTCCACTACCAGCTTGATTTGTTCATTGATCTGGTTCGTGATATACTCTATCCTGAAATTTGGCTTCGAAATGTGACGTTATGGCTAGCTGCTGTGAGGATGGCCGCGGAATCTAGAAACATTCAGGCATGTAATGCAAGATCCCAAGAAAGGTAACTGAACGACAAATGACGCAAGGACTGCTAGATATAGCCCTGTATCATCCTTTAGGTCGTAAACTATGTTTGATTTTCGTTACATCATCAAGGCAAAGCACAGTCATCGTTATAGTGTGGATTCCTTGGTAGGGGACTTCCTTATTGGGGCAAGCAGATCCATGGGATCGGTTGCTATATAGAAGGGATAAGACTGTAGGCTGATATGCTCACTTGATAGTTCTCGAATCTAAATTAGGGTCTCGAATCCATTCCAAGCCGCTCTTGAGTTAGGATTTGAGTTTGCCATTGCCAGTGGACGCCTATTAGGACCAATTACCATGGCCGTTCAGCACGCAGTAATTGTTCGAGAGCGTGGTCAAGTTACTTTGGCCGATGATGTGCCAATACCCGCTTTGCCTGATGATTATATCCTGGTAAAGACACAAGCAGGTACGTGTGGCTTTGATCTCAAGTACCCGGGCGCAAGTTGTTAACGAAGTGAATATAGTGGCTTTGAACCCAACGGACTGGAAGCACGTTGACTTCGACACCTGCACAGGAACCATCGTCGGCTGTGACTACGCCGGTGTCGTGGAGGCTATCGGGCCTCGAGTCAGGAAGCCTTGGAAAAAAGGGGACCGCGTTGCCGGCTTTGTCCACGGGTGTAACGTGAAGCAGCCTCATGGAGGTGCATTTGCGCAGTATGTCATCGCGAAAGGGGACATACAATTTAGGGTTCCGGAATGGATGAGCATTGACGGAGCCTCTTGCTTGGGTGTTGGCATGATGACTATCGGCCAGAATCTGTATCAGTCCATGCAGCTCCCTGGCCCTGGAATGGCATGTGATGATGAGATAGCGGATATGCAGAGAGACGAAAAGGGGAATGATGAGGATATCCCTAGCATCCTGATCTACGGCGGTGCAACGTCAACAGGTTCCCTCGCAATCCAATTTGCAAAGCTATCAGGGCTGCGCGTCGTCACAACGTGCTCAGAAGTTAATCGTGCCTGGATGCATGAACTGGGTGCGGATGCCGTCTTTGACTATCACGATCCTCACGTAGGTGACCGGATCCGTGAGTTTACCGATGATACCCTCGAGCTAGCTTTCGATACAATCTCCACTAACCAGACGGCTGCAATCTGCGCCGCTGCTATTTCATCCTCCGGGGGCTGTTACAATGCACTGCTAGACGTACGCTGCCCCCGAGGTGATGTTGATACGCATGTTTCTATGGCATACGATCTGATCGGAGAGCCGTATCTGATGGGAGGCAAAGAAGTCCAGGCCCATCCAGAAAGTCTCTCATTTGCAGTGCAATGGGCGAATACCGTCGAAGCCCTACTGCAGAGCCGTCGGATCACCTCCCAACGATTCCAAGTCAAGCCAAGAGGCTTAGCCGGGGTTGCTTCGGGGTTGGATTGGCTGCGACAAGGCAAGGTACGGGCCTCAAAGCTGGTGTATAAGGTCGATGAAACTGTTTGAAACTGCGAGGCTGGAAATGTTGGTTAAGCCATGAGGTCAACCATCTACCCTTTTAGTGATCGAGGTTGTACAAGGGAGGTCAAGGAATGGATTAAGCCGTGCGGATCGACAACAGCGGGCCCGTCCATCAGACAGGAATAGTATTTCCCGATGCTCACTTGCATCCATGTCCTTAACGATCGTCATGTAGATAGATATACCGCAATCTCATTGGGTAAATAGCGATGCTTAGTAGACCATACGAACAATGGACCAATAAGGTCCGCCGGAGCTTTCATCAAAATTCCAACTAGTGGAGACCGCACGCAAGGGCCAAGTACCCGTGAGCGCCCTTGTCAGGAAGATGAGTGAACTTATATGGATGGATGCATTGGATTCCTGTACCGGCAACATCCTAGATTATGCGCAAAACAGCGAAATAATGTTTGTCTGGTGATAACATACCCGATCACCTTCCTCTTCAATGGCCTTTACCATCATCAGTAGATCGTCTGAATGCCACTAGTATAGTCAATATTTTACGTGGCGAGTATTAATCATACCGCTGGGATCGACAACGTTTGTGTCACCTTCTGGCGTCGTGTAACAATGGTCAGCGTCGCTGTTAACTTTTCCCAAATATCGTTCGCCTATTATTTGTGAACAGTATGGGAATCCTGCATACTTCCCATGAAAGTGGATCAGGAATCTCTCTGCTGACCCCAGTTCCCACACCATAGATAACGTCAGCCTCTGCAAGGACATATTTGTTAGGCAGATAGCTTACTATGAATGGTGAGTACCGCCATGGTACTGGTGGCCAAGAGCCCTTTAAATTCCATTAGTAGGGCGAACAGCATGATGTGACTCGAAGCAGCCTTACGGGGCTTTGTCCAACCGTGTCCAACCGCATCCTATACTGGGAGAACACCAAACCAAAAGCAGCAAACAAAATGAAAATCCTCTGCCTTCATGGCTACGGTACGGGGCCTGATATTCTGCGATATCAACTTTCAGGGTTGATGCGAGATGCTGACCCGAGCTGGGAGTTTCATTTTCTCTCAGGTGAAGTTGAATGCCCGCCTGCGCCAGGTATGGTTGTCGGTCTACCAACGCACGCCAATAGTTGCTAATACTTAGCTTCACCAACTGGTTAGGCATTGAGAGCACTTTTCCACCTCCATATTACTGCTGGACGCGGTCCTTTGATGCAGGGGAGATTGATGCAGCCCATGCCTTGATCGAAGAGGCCATTGACGAGCATGGCCCTTTCGACGGGGTTTTGGGATTCAGTCAAGGCGCTGCACTCGCGATTTCGTTCCTGCTCGAGCACAGAATGGCATATCCAGATGAGCTCCTACCTTTCCGTTTTGCAATATTTTATTCGCCCACAATTCCATGCGCCGCGAATGAAGCTTCCTGTCAGTCGGTATTCGGTTCTCTTTCATCAGTCGATCAGCAACGTCTCCGCTCAGGGCAAGATAAACAGATTGCACAGCTTCCAGAACCAGTTCGTTCTGTCACCGAGAGCTTTGTGAAGGTGATTAAGGGAACCAAGTCTATAACACGCGAGCCGGTGTCATTTTTCCTTGATCGCCCGCTTGATCTCGTCCCGTGCGTCCTGCATCCAGACGTAGTACCAACACGTATAACACTTCCATCTGTCCACCTGCGTGGAAAGGAAGATATACCTGGGTTGGACGATTGTGGCCTTCTCGTCGAGGCTCTTTGTGACTCTAAAACTCGGAAGTCAATCAAACATTCGGCTGGTCATAATATACCGAGGTCAGGGCCAGAGATAAGGCAAATGCTGTCCGCCCTGGAATGGGCTGTGGCGCAGAGCCAGCTACCAACACACTAAAGCATCGTTCGCTCATCTAAATGCGGCCCTGTATTCGCATAAAGACAATCGAGATGCGACTACGCTGCTCTTTTAGTGACGTAATCCTATGAATCCTAGTCGTGGTTAGTCACGGTTTCACCATGGGGCTTTTCAAAGTTGCTATAGTGGCACCAACTTGCGTGCATGTATGCGCCAGCGTTGTCTATTATAGAGACCTAGAGCAAGTCGCGAGAAGTCGAGAAAGGAAAGTCTTGACGTCAGTCATACCTCTCATATGCAGGTCTCAAGGATCATCACTGCGACTAAAAGGTAGTTAAGATCGGCAGATTGTAGAAAGAACGTTTCTCGTACAGCAAGGGATGAAGGCTGCCCCATCTGGACTTTCTGATCGTCGAGCCTATACCACGGGTGATGTAACTCACGTATCTGTGGTCTCTTCTCCGGAATGATGGAGTGGGGGTTCAAGTGTATAAAAAAGCCTAAAATTCTCTCACAACGACCGCACTACCAACAATATAGGATCGAGTATTGAGAGCAATATGGGGTCCGCTGATGTTTCAGGACGGCTTTTAACTCAGCTGGTAGACCAGCAAGCGAAGGATCAGCCCGATCGCTTGTACTGTCTGCACCCCAGCTCCCAGGATGCGGATTGTGAATGGCTTTGTATAACGTTCCACCAACTGTCTGCTGCTGTGAACCGTGTAGCGTGGTGGATCAACAGCAGACTTCTTGGAAGAAAGCAGCAGATTCTTGCCTATATAGGAACGAATGACTTGCGATACTTGGTTTTTGAGCTAGCTTGCATGAAGACAGGCCATGCGGTATGACCATCTCACATTCCTAGCTGAAGATTCCTGTCCCACAGTATCGATGCTTGTTTCTGACTGATTGGGTTAGGCTCTACTTCTATCCACTCGCAACTCGCAGGCAGCCTTTCATCATTTACTGTCGAAGACGAACTGCTCAGTGCTTGTTGATGGTAGCGAGCGACCCCAGCTGAAGAAAGTCGTCGACCAGGTTGAACTCGCTTGTTCTGATCTCGGGTTGGAACGATGGCGTATGGATCCCGTCTGGGATGTCTTCGCAGCATCTCCTGTCAAGCCGTATCCCCACCGAGAGAATTTCGCAGACATAGAAGACCGGCCAGCTATCATCATCCACAGCTCTGGGACTACGGGTCTTCCCAAACCGGTAACTTTGACCCATGGATATCTGGCAACGATGGATCAGATGCAAACGCTTCCCGTGCCTCAGGGTCGTGAATCCGCCCAGTTGTTTCTGCGACACAAGGGTGAGATGCGATTCTGCCACGGACCATTATTCCACTTTATCGGAATAGTTTGCGTGTTTGAGTGCATATTTTACGAGACACCTTTTCTACTATCGCCAGATCGACCTCTAACCCCAGATCTCTTCTCGCGGATTATGGCAACTCCCGATCCACCTCGTTGGTGTCTAATCGCTCCGTTTGCGTTGCAGGAACTTTGGTCGTCTGAGAAAGGACGACAGGCGATACAGGGCTTTTCCGCAGTAAATTTTGGCGGTGCACCCCTGTCGAGCACCACAGGAAACGCAATCTCTTCCCATGTTCGCTTGCAAACATTGATGGGTAGCAGTGAGACTGGTTACACACCGACACTTCTTTGTGAAGACCCCGCAGACTGGGATTGCTTCGAATGGAATCCTGCCTTCGAACATCACATGGAGGAAGTCGGTGATGGACTGTGGGAGTTAGTTATCCCTCGACCTTCCTCCCGTCGGTATCATGCCATTTTTCACGCCTTTCCAAATCTTAGCGAATATCGAACGGGTGATCTTTTTGAACCTCATCCAACAAAACCGCACCTGTGGCGATCAAAGGGGAGAGCAGATGACATAATAGTTCTAAACAACGGCGAAAAGCTGAACCCTATTGATGCCGAGCACCTCCTTGAATCCCATTCCTTAATTCATCGTGCTGCTATTTTCGGCCAGAATCGATTCCAAGTGGCCTTGCTAGTTCAACCGCAATGGGATGAGCTCCCGGAGACATGGACCCCACAATGGCTGAAGCAGGCTCTGGAGCCCTTCGTTAAAAATGCCAACGGCTTGTTGCCTGCCCATGGACAAATCCATCACAACCGTATCGCTGTTGCTTTTCGCGATCGGCCATTTGCGCTGGCCCCCAAGGGGTCTCTTCGCCGGCGAGAAACCGCTCAGCTCTATGAGGATGTGATCAATGCATTATATAGTGAAGCAGCGGGTAACGAAGGCTCTATTAACGACGTAGAAAAGCTGCAAGAGTCGACTATGGAAGGTATCGAGCTGTGGCTACAAGAGGCTGTTTCTCGGATCTTGGGTGGCATTTCTGTGGAACTAGATGCCGATATTGTCTCTCTAGGAATGGATTCTCTTCAGGTAGTTCGACTCGCGCAGGCACTGCAAGATGCGGCCGATCGCATGCGTCAATCTAAACAAAGAGCTGCCTTATGGACCAGTGCCGTCATCTATGAGCAAGCCACAGTCCGACGTCTCGCAAGTACGCTTTTCCGACAACTACATGGCCATCTTGAAGCGGAAGGCGAGAAGCACACATCGAGCTTTTGGCCACGAGAGCATCAATTGACACATGCAATCTGGCAGCAAGCACAGAACCTTCAGCTCAGCGGAAAAACGATACTTCTGACTGGTTCAACTGGCGAGCTTGGCAGCTACCTCCTAGAGGAGCTGCTGCAGGATCCGACTGTTGCAAAGGTATATTGCCTCAATCGTTCGGCAGATGCGGAAAGCCGACAGCTCGCTAGATTCCGTGAGAAGCGGTTAGCTGATGGCTGGCTTGTGGATACTTCTCGAGTCAAATTCTGGCAGGCTGAGTTGAGCCAAGAACGCCTCGGACTGACTGCGGATGAATACAGTTACTTGCGAGAGCAGGTGGATATTGTATTCCATAATGCTTGGATGGTGAATTTTAATCTGCCACTGTCCAGTTTCCGTTCTCAGCTGGAAGGGACGGGACGGCTTCTCAACCTAATCAAGGGCTCACCTCGCCAGGCCGCATTCCATTTCATTTCTTCCATCGCGGCCGTTAGTGGTCGCCCTACCATTGTGCCTGAAACTGATCACATTGCAGAAACACTGCATGGGCCATCGATAGTACTCATTCAAGGCTACGCAGAATCGAAATACGCAGCAGAAGTTCTCTGTGACCTCGTGGCGAGAGAAACCAAACAGAAAATTGCTGTCCACCGTGTTGGTCAACTGGGAGGACCCACAGATGCTGAGGCAGGTATGTGGACGACACGAGACTGGTTTCCAGCACTGGTACGAACGTCTCAGACGATGAAAGAGTTGCCTGACAGCATTGGGTCAATTCCAGTGGATTGGGTGCCCATTGTAAGTGAACCACTTGCTGATATGACTTTTTTGATAAAGCCATAGTGTACTAACTTCGTAGGATGTCGCTGCTCGGAGTATTGTTCAAATCGCCTGCGGGAGACATAATGAACGGTTAGCTTCCACCGGGTTGAACAACGCAGAGGTCTATCATATCACAAACCCACATCTTGGTAACTGGGAGCCATTGGCACAGGTTATAAGTCAAGTCTGTTCCTCCAGAATTATTCCGCTAAAGGAATGGGTGCAAAACCTGACGGACCGTGTATCCGACCTGAAACTCAACGAGGAGGCCTTGCTGGAAATTCCTGCGGCGTCACTTCTAGGTTTCTTCAGGTCACTTGCTGATTCTGAGGGTTGGAAACGTCCTCCCGCGGATACCACCAACGCTCAAAAGTATAGTGCAGCTTTGGGAGCGTTGGGTCCGGTGGACGCATCATTGATGAAGGTGTGGTTGCAACAGTGGAGCGACTGGATCCCTGAGCTGCGACTTTAGCATCATGCCGTAGCTACACTGCTCTCATCGAGCCGGATACCCAGAGACGTATGTCACAGGCGGAATTGCTCATTCTTTGATGCAGCCAACGCGTGGAGTCTAAAAGAAACAATCATGTGGGGAGGTGAAGCGTAGAACGTGACTACAAACGCAGTAGGTCAGGTGATGTGCTTACCTGCCGAGACTTCTCAACATAATATAATCGTATACCAGGCTCTCAGATTAACGTTTCTCCACTGTGAACGCAAGCTAGAATCGATAATTTCTTTTCGTAAAGAAGCGCAATTTGACCAGGCTTGCCGACTATAGCATCCGATAGAAACCGCCGCAAATGAGTCATGCAATCCTGTAGTCGAGGCAAAAGAATACTTCTGGACTAGCACAACTCATAGCATACATGGGTAAGTCCCCAAGAAGAAAATCCGTTTTCGCGGTACAGCTTCCTAACGAGATTAGGAATCATACACAAGGCTCGGAATGAGGAGAGAGAGTGAATGACGAGGTCTATGACACTGTGCCAGTTCTGGGGTCTTCGATATGGACTAGCGAAGAACAGCTAGAGGGTATTGCTGCTTTGCGTGCGTGGTCTACAAGGCATACTGCAATCGCCAGCTCAGCTTTGTGTATCAGCAACGCTCCATGTGTCAAATAGTCTCCGGCAGGTATCGTCCTCGTCCCATATCTGTGGAACGGGACCCGGACTCATAACCACCGAATGGAGACATACTCGGCTCGGTTTCACAATGCACAGAACAAGATCCCACGAGCTCCTTTCAATGCATCCTTGCTGTCGCTGCTTCGTCAAAGACCTCTTTCCACCTCACACTGTCTGTCAGGATATCAGCCAAATGCAAACCCTATCCGTTTGCCTATAAAGTTACTGGGTACTACTCCAGAAGAGCTAACGGTGATATCGATGGAGATGGAATTCGGTGCTGCGGGTGTTCAAGACATGGTTTCGAGCTGGTCATCGTCAATATGCCTTGGTGCAACATATACATATGTAATATATTATCACTAGTGAGCAGCTATACCATTTTTATCAACAAAAGACCAGAATCAAGAAATATGCGACCGTGCTAAGTGTGGATTAGAAGTTCTTGTTCTGAGAGAGGGATAGTAGGTTGCCTACTGTGCTTCTTCTCCTCCGAAGCTAGAGAATAATGCAGTAGTCTAGCTAGAATTGATAACATGTTTCTTCCTCCATAATACGAATCAGTAGTCTTCCCCCCCC